GGGGAAGCCAAGTGCTCTTGGGTCATGCTTGTAGATAGCTTCTCCAAAATAGGAATGGGCACATGTGGTTTCATTTCACTCTATTTCATGAAAATATTTCAATTGGACAGAACAATATATCAAAAATATCTTATTTCTGAGTTTGTTTCCTTTTTTTCTGGAAGAACATGTGATCTTTTTGTAACAGAGAATGAAGTAAATGTTATTTTTAAAGGAAAAATTATTTTAAACTATATCTAGTGTATTAAAAACTAAAAACAGAAAAATTGTCTTTTTTTATAGTCTTGGAGGGTTGTTCTTTGTTTCACTCTGTCAAAATAGTATCTTCTTAAGTCATAAAATGCAAACATTTCCTATACAAGGGTCATAATGGTTGATGCTAACATTCCCATATGAAGATTTTCTGCCTGAGCCCCAAGCACTGTCCTGACTGTCATTCTGCTCATTTTGGACGTTGCCATCAGTCATGTTTTCTCAAGGTTTTGGGAACCTCAGAATTGGTCCCACAAAGAGTGGGAAAATATCATACAATGCTTTCCCAGTTACATCTGAGTGGAAGTACCCATGTAGCCCTTCATCCCTGGTGGAAGTTGTTCAGAGGATCGGAGTTGAAGAATGGCACATCCATAGTAGCTTTTCTGCCTTCTCCTTAGGACCCTGCCTGTGAGAAGCCCACACACTCCATTCTTTCACCACTCTCAGCAGTGAATTCCCTTACGAAGGAAAGGGAGAGATGTACTGACAGCCTTGAATGCCTACTGTGCCAGACATAATTTCATTTTGACATTTTGCTCAAGATCTACCACATTGCTGTAGATAAAACATGAGAGTCACAGAACATAGGTTACTCGTGTGACACGGTTGCACAACTAAGGGCATATGACATCTTCAATAATAAACTCCTCATTTAAACCCTTGTCCAGTTACTTTATGGGTTTATTTCTTTGAGACTCTTTGCTAATCTCATGAAAATGACGTTTGAGTATTTCCATACATCATTCTCACCCTGAAAGTTGGTTTAAAACTCCTTTGAGACTTTATTACATCTCTTCTTTCAAATAAGCTTTAGTTTCAGGCAATAACCTTCAACATGAATGAAAACCTCTAATTTAATGCTACGTTGATTATTGGCATTGGAAGAATATTTTGCCCCAACACTTTAGACTTCTACAGGACACTACCTGTTCATGAAGGAGACTGAAGCACCATTTACAACTTCCGTTCCATGGAGAGTTCCATGGAAAATTCCTCAAAACCAATTGGCAAATATTGGTGTTACAAAATGTCTTAAAACTAGGGATTGCTGATATCAATAACTAAGTTTTCAAAACAAAAACAGAAGTCTCAACATGGCCATGTGGTGTCAAGATGAGCATGAAAATCCAACCCTGCATAGCTACTCCTTCCGTTCTTGTTTCCAATGGTAACAGGATTTCTACGAAAGCATTCTATTATGGTACCTAGTCATTCCAAAGAAAATTTAAGGGAGGAAAAAAGCATGGCATCACAATAGGCTATAGACTCCATTTTAAATATCAATATTACTGATCATTCCTATTAAACCTTTAATTAATTCCCTTGCTACAATTGATGCAATTTTTAGGGTTGTCCACTGAAGTACTAAAATGTCAAGATTAATATTTACAATAAAGTGTATTTTTTTTTATTATATTTTACTTTTAAAATAAGAGCCAAGACCTACTCTGACCTGAAATTTGACGTGAATTAGAAACTCTATTAATCAGGAATGCAACTTGTTAGAAATATTGAGTGATTGTAATCTAAATTAAATTTACTTACTTCATTGAGTTGCATTTTATTTTAAACACGAAACAAATATTAGTATCTTTAAAAGAATTAGTTTATAGAATTCTAACTTGAAGATTGTAGAAAATGCCCAGGAAGACTTTTGTGATTTAATATGCAAGAATTCACTGATCTTTACGTTATAAAATTATCAGTTATTAAAATATTGCCAGTTTGACCTCTATATAGACATGCTCATAATTATCATACTGTAAATGTTAAATCTACTTTTCATTAATTTATTTTTGAAAAAAAAAACCCTGAAATTCAAGCAATCAAGTTAATCAGAGATTGCTTTGGGTTTGCCTCTGACTACATCCAAGTCTTTTTTTTTTTCAGAATGATATTATTCTAAAGTGTATTTAAAATTTCAAAACACAAGTATCTACAAATTGTTAAAGAAAGACACAGAGACAGAGTGAGAATGACATTTCTAAGCAAGTTGTAAACTGTATATAGGAGCTCTCTATCAGAAGGGTTAGTTGATCAAATTTTAAAAAGAGAAAGAGAAAAAAAAGCAAGCAAGCAGGAGGAAGTCAATCCTCCCCAAATGTTAAGGTTGCCAAGTTTATATTGGCTGGTTTACAATGAGTAAACAGCAGGCCTGTCAAAAACACTGCATCCACAAAGACCAAGGCATTCCTTCAGGTAGGTAAGCTGGAGATTGCCCTGGAGGAACAGCAAGATTCATGGCTTAAGAAACCAGAACTGGTCACATTCGTTTGCCATTTGCACGTTTTTCTGAAGGAGACTATGGCAAACTTTGAGCCCTGTGATCAAGGCTCAGTGCCAGCCTGCTTCCACACCATGTAGTTCCTCCCTCCTGTCTGTCCTCTGCTTCCTCCCTGCTTACCATACACACATGGTCCTCAGTGGCTATTCAAAGAGGGCTGTGGGGCACATTTGATAAGCATATGTCTTAAAATAACTTCTCTGTGAGTCTGTTTCAAACTTGCTTTAGTCCAAGCATGGGCATTCCCATTACATTCTCAACTTGCCTCACACAGATGGGCATCCTTGAATGTAGACTTATATTCCACCACACAAATCAACTTTTCGTTTAGTAAATTACTAAAACCAAACTTTGATTACAATAAACCTGTGTATAAGGATAAACCAGAAAAAAACCACAACCTTGAAGTAAGCTTCATCAAAGTGAATCAACATAAAAAGAACAGTCACCTTAAAAATTTAAAATTATATATTATATAATTTAAATTTCTAAAGGGGAAAAATCAACCTTAAATCCAAGTGTTAAATTTTTAAACGTTTCCATTACAGACACTATCCTAAGTGTCCAAATTGGTTTGGCAGCAAGAATGAGGAATTTGGAAACAGAATTAGGTATGATTTCTCCGGTACATGTCCTTAAAGGTGGGTTTTATTATTTTTTGGAATATGTACTTATGTCAGTTTAGAATGAACATTCATAGGTATTTTTGTCTCTGTAAATGTAATCCCACTCTTAAAACATACTTGGAGAAATAATGACCCCTTCACCCAAATGACCAGGAAGCAAGCAGTTGGCTTTCTCAGCGCTTTGTCCCAGTTTCTAGGGATCTGCTCTCTCTTCTGTGAGCTAGCTCAGTTTCAAGGATCTTGCTGGGAATAAACACTGTTATTTCACCGTGATTAAGTTTTTAGACTACCCACATCCTACAAATATAATTTGAAACAAATTTACCTTTCCATCATTAAAAGAAAACGTTGTTGCTTTCATTTTTAGAGCTAAATCTATTACCCTGCTTGGGTATGCTGCACTCTTCTGGGCATAGAATTTCATAGCAAGTATCAAAATAATCAAGCCCTGGAGTCGGATGCATCAAGCCATAATTTCTTCTTAACCAGAACTTTTGAATGCGTACCTGGCACATTTTTGCACAAAACCAATACACAACAAATAATGATGCCTGAACCTTAAACATAAACAGGCATAGGATTTCTGACTGGGTTTTCTATTTTTGCACACAGCCCAACACCTGGAAACAACTGTACCGTGGGCACGCTCCTCGAAAGTGCCAGGTGTTTTCCTCTGGTCTAAGCCAACAAGCAGAGGGCAAACTAAAATCACTTTTTCGGAGAAGGTAGATGGGGAAGAATGCTACTACAAAACAGCTTCCGCGAGTGGGAAGTATGTCCAATTTTCTTCTCTGGCAACTGTTTCTTGTTGGGGCAACAGGGGATTCATAACACGGTTTGGAAAATGTTCTCTTGTCCCTTCACCCGGAGGCAGGGGGTTCCCAATCAAGTCAAAATGTAGATCTAGATCTATGCAATATCAGCAGGGCATTCCAAGCGATGTCATGGGAGGTGGAGCCAGTCTCCATGACATTCCATGAGACTGAATACTGCAAGGCTGTCTTGAAAACAATTTCTATTGGACCAAGTCTTTCCTTTGCTGGGAGTTGTCGCATCCAAGACTTAATTTCAACAGGGTTCAATTTATTGCTTGGAGCTCTGGCAGCATAAAACTGTCTTCTTTGAATGGAAAATTTGACCAACTGCGATGAGGTAAATGAATTTCGAAAGTGGGGGAGTGTGGGGGAGGCATACAACTTTTTTTTTGGAAGGGGAACGGAGTGCATTCTTAAAGCACCAAGCAATCCCCAAACCCTAAGTCTCCGTGGATTTTTGTGTTAATGAGGCAGAGCCGAGGGCTCAGAAGCCCTGTGGGAAGCCAGGGACTTTGGGTTTGAGAGTTACCGGGCTTCGGGGAATCCCTACCTTGGGTTAAAAAAAAAAAAAGGTGACTGGAGACAAGACGCGCTTCAAAATCATCCATTGCCCCGCAATCCCCCGCGTTCTCCTCGGGATCGCCAACTGGCAAGCGCAGGAGCTTGCAAGCGCTACCGCATTAGCCGCGGTCACTCGAGGATCCACCAGCTTTGGGGCTCCGGACTGAGTGGTCTTGGGGCCGGGTAAGCTCAGACCAGCTCCGGCTCAGCGTCTCTGGACAGGTCTGACCGGGCTCCTGGGCTCAGCTACCGCCCTGGAGCTCCGTGGGGAGCTGCGACCTCCCCGCCTCTGCCGGGCCCCCGCGAGGCTGCGCTTCCCGTAAACTCCCCGCCCTGCACGGCCCCCTCCCCGCCTCGGCTCCACCCCCGCGGGACCCTGGGAGGCGTGAGATTGGCCCGGACGCGCTGTCACTCTCCGGACGCGTCACCGCCCTCGTTTCCGACCGCCGGGAGACCGGCAGTGCTATTAGTGCACGGCGGGGCCGAGGCGGAGGGCAGCCCGGTGCCTGGTTCGCTCGCACTCGCCGGCAGGTCGGCGCGCTCGCTCACCTGAGCTGTGTCCCGGGGCCGCAGGGCTACCGGGCTGCACGCGCGCCCCCGCCCGCCGAGACACGCACGGAGATGGGCAGCGGGAGAAGTTGACGAGCCCCCCACGCACGCGGCGCCCTTGCTGTCCAGAGGTGCGCCGCCCCTGCCACCGAGGTGTCCGCCGCCCTGCCCCAGATGTGCGCGGGACACCCTGCCTCCGCGACTGGAAAACTTCACCCCAAGTCCAAAGTGGGCTCCGAGGGCGGTGTCCGCAGCTGGACCGCGGGGCTGCCTGCGAGGGAACTGTCCTGCGGCTCCGGGGCGAGGGGAGGGCGGGGACCCGCTGGAAACTTTCTGACCATCTTCCTAACCACTGCGTTTTACTGTCTCCTCTCCCCGCAGGGGCTGCAGCCAGCGCTCTGTCGCGCGTGCCTGTTTGCCAAAGGAGCCGCCCCGGCGAGGAGAGCCGGAGGGAAGCCGCTTCCAACGGGGAGACCGGCAGCTCAGACACGCGTTCTGGGCGGCCTGGATGCGCAAGAACCGGCCCCGCAGCCGCTGACGGCCGGCGGCAGCGAAGTTTGGCTGCTAAGCGGCTCGGCGCCTGGCCCCTGGACAGACTGCCCACCGGCGGCAGCAGCGACCGAAGCGATGCCCGTGGGGGGCCTGTTGCCGCTCTTCAGTAGCTCCGGGGGCGTTGGCCTGGGTGGTGGCCTGGGCGGGGGGCTTGGTGGCAGTAGGAAGGGGTCTGGCCCCGCTGCCTTCCGCCTCACCGAGAAGTTCGTGCTGCTGCTGGTGTTCAGCGCCTTCATCACACTCTGCTTCGGGGCAATCTTCTTCCTGCCTGACTCCTCCAAGCTGCTCAGCGGGGTCCTGTTCCACTCCAACCCCGCCTTGCAGCCGCCGGCAGAGCACAAGCCCGGGCCCGGGGCGCATGCCGAGGACGCCGCCGCGGGGCGAGTCCGGCACCGCGAGGAAGGCGTGCCCGGGGACCCCGGGGCTATCCTGGAAGACAACTTAGCCAGGATCCGTGAAAACCACGAGCGGGCTCTCAGGGAAGCCAAGGAGACCCTGCAGAAGCTGCCCGAGGAGATCCAAAGAGACATTCTGCTGGAGAAGGAGAAGGTGGCCCAGGACCAGCTGCGTGACAAGGAGCTGTTTGGGGGCCTGCCCAAGGTGGACTTCCAGCCTCCCATCGGGGTAGAGAACCGGGAGCCAGCTGATGCCACCATCCGCGAGAAGAGAGCAAAGATCAAAGAGGTGAGTGTGTAAACCCTGCCAGAAATCCCACTCACGCTGCTGTTTTCCAGGGAGGTAAGATAAACGGTTGGAACTTAGGGCTTCAACGTTATCACGCAGAGGCAAGGGAGGTCTGCGCTTCCACTGTTTGCCAAAGGCTGCACGCTTTCCTATTATTACCTTAGGAGATGTGGCCGTTTAGGATGTGAGGCTGAATCTGGTTGAAGTTACATGAGGTGCTGAGCTTAAGCTGTAAGAGGCAGGTGTGAGTGACTACCCAGGCAGGTGATGCACTGCCTCCCCTCCTGCTGCAGTAAGTCCACCCTGAGAAGAGTCACTGCGCTGGGCTTGCAGCCCCCCTCACGAAGGCTTGCAGGTGGTTTCAAATTGAAGCTGACGATCAACGCAGGGCATCAATCACGCATGGTACAAAGGTTATAACAGTGAGCCAATGCGCCCAGTGTTCAATCATGTGGCCTTCTCCTGCCAGGTGGCATTCTGTGTGTATGTAACCGGCTGTAAACGTGAAACTTGAGACTTCCTGTCAGTGGGCCACTTACTATCCATTACCGATTTAAAACACGAGAACTACACACACACACACACACACACACACAGAGAGAGAGAGAGAGAGAGAGAGAGAGAGAGAGAGACCGAGACCGAGACCTACTGCTTTTTGTATTACTGGAACATTTTCAGAAAAGGGGTATTCTGTGTGACGCAACAGGTCTGCCTCCACAGCGGCTCAGTAACAAACTCATCCTAGAGCAAACATGGACTTTGGTTAAGTCCTGTGTCATTTCTTTCTGGTTGTTTTCACTTGTAGCCAGTGAGTGGCTTCTGACAAGCTTAAACGTGAAGGAAATCCTCTTCCAGACTGTCATTTCAAAGGTGAAAACTGAGGACTTACAGCTCATGAAGCAGTTAGTGACCAAGCTGAGACCTGAATGAGGGAGCAGAGGCTTCCCATTCACCATGCTCTGGGGACACATCTCCTTCCAGGCTGCTTCCCTGTGTTTTCCTGGGAATCCAGACCTGCAGAGCTATGGTAAAAGCATGACATCCCAACTTTGACTAATCCTCTAAAATACATTTTAAGGGGGTTTATTCTTTTTGGAGTTTTTGTTTTCATATTGGTTCAGTTATCAGGAAAGGGTCATGATAGCATTTTCAGGACGTGAACAGAATCTGGAGGCTGTTGAGAAATTTAAGGTAACTGCAGAATGAAGGCAGGCTGATTGCCGTTAGATGTGCCTAAGACTGGTTGAAACTGGATAAGGTGTCATTGAGCAAGTTCAAGTGGACTTGGGTCCTATTAGATGTTTCTGAGATAGTGCCTTTTAACCCTCCAGGCCCATGACTTTGTTTAATCGTCCTTCCGTTGGCTTTCCGCTTTGCAGCCAGCCCTCTTCAGGCACGGTGTGGGAATGGGTTCTGCTATCCTGAGCAACTTTCCCCAACAGTTTTCCTACTCTGTGAAATCGTGACAGAACTACCCTTCCTGGAGAACAGAACACGCTTCTGCCTCTTCCTAAACATCTCCCCATCCTTACCTCTTGGTCGTTTTAGCCAATACAGCCCATTAGAAAATTTACCCTCAAATGATCAGTATCTGCCACTGTAAATGTTTGAAGAGACTCATTTATGCATGGCATGCTTCTGAATTCATGTGAGCGGTCAGTTAATCTGGGCTATAGTTGTAGGAACCAGAAATATTAAACACTAAAACATTAAGAAGCTGACCATTAACAATTGAAAGTGGATTTGGAAGAGACACAGTGCCTACTAGCAGTCCACTGAGGGCAGCATTTTAGCAGTATGTATATCCGCTGGCTAGTAGACCCTTCTTATCTGTGTCTCTAAATCAAAGAAACTTAATTTACCATGTCAAGGAAATTTATGAAGCCTCTGTCATGTGGTGCCAACATCTTAGAACCTAGTTCAGACTGCCCAGTTTTTCATAAAATCTTAGAACTAAATGCGTTCTTTAAAATCCCAAGCTGTCACGAAAACCTCAAGCAGTCAGCATGATTTGCTTCAGAGTTTAGTCAAAGGCCAACAGGATGAGGGGAGAAATGAATTATGATTTTCCATTAGAATAGTTCAAGCAGACACAGTCCTTTGTAAACCAATACCTCATGCTAGTCTCTTTTCATTATTATTATTACTCTTTGACAGCTTCATGCATGTGTGTAATTAGTTTTAGGATTCCCCCCGCCACACACACACACACATACACACACACACACACACACCCTTACCCTCAACTCAGGCAATTCTACAGGACGTGGTGTTTGACCATGGTTGTCAGTTGAGGGTGACACATTACACTTCAATTTTATACATTAGGTTCTATTTCCTACATTATAGGCAACTCGCCGTGGTCTAGTAGCTTTTACCTTGGTTCTGTTCTTGTTTCTGAATGTTCTAGTTGTCTTCATGCTTAAGTTCCTGATTGGGCTTGAAGGCGCTAAAACTTTTATAGTTAAAGTTTAGAAGCTATAGAACTGAATTTTAGTCAAGCTTTTATTTTGTAAATTTGGTTTGGAGGCAGTTCACACTGTTTTTCTATTGCTGACGTAATTGTGTTGTTGGTACTACATTGGATTTTTAATAAGTTTGTGCCTTAGGGGACATAGGCTGTTAATTTGAAACAGGACATTGCCTCGGCCAAAAGGTATTGAGTGAATTCTACTAATTCCAATAATGATGGATTTGATGTAAACTCTCGTCTTCCCACCCATGTGAAAACCTTGTAAAAACATTTGTCCTAGAATTTCCCTGATTTCTGCTACATGCCACATGTGTGTTAATTGTCGTGAATTTGATCTCCATAAAATTTTCCTCAAGTTAACCTGTACTTTAAAAAAAAAAGGTTAAAAGTTAAATAGCTTCATGGAATTATTAGGGATGGGCTCTATTTTCTTTTCCTTTCTACTGCACCTTTTTTTTTTTTTTAAATTAACAAGGCTTTTCAAGTTTTTTTTTTTGTGGGGCAGTCACAATAGTGAACCTATGATGTACCTTAGGATGAAGGCCCTAATCTACTTTAACAATGAACATGATTTTCATTTTCTGGAGTTGTGGAATATTCTGAGTAATAGAAGAAAACAAGTCACCCTTCTCCAGGGTCCGGAGCATAAGAGGGGCACGGAGTTCTGCAGGCTGGCAGACTTGGCTCTGTCACATGAGGCTTTAGGACCTGGCAGTTATAGTCACAGCTGCCTTCTCTTTTCATTCCAGACCTATTGGTATATTCAAACACATAAGAAAGGTGACTGATAAGTAAAACACATTTTGTAACATCTTACACTAGCACTAGTGGTGTGTGTGTGTGTGTGTGTGTGTGTGTGTGTGTGCATGTGTGTATGTGTGCCCATGTGTACTGAGCACAGTTTACAGTTTATGTTAAACATTAACTATTTGCCCTTTGGCTCAGATGTCAGAGTAAGTTACCTTGGCAAACGGAAAAAAAACACTTATTTTGAAACTTAGCTTTCCAGGTGACTTTTATGGGTTTCAGTGTGGAAAAGCACATTTACAGCATAATGAAGCTATCCTCTGAAGTCCTGTGCCAAGGGGCTAGGACACTTTGACACTTTTGGGTTGTTTGCCAGTCCCCTGCCTCTTAAGCCCTGCTACTTGATGCTCCTTATAAAATAGATACTAACTAGTACAAGCCCATCCCACTCAGGGATCCCACAACAAGGGAACTCTTGAGATTTGTGAACGGTTCTGTTTTTACCAAGAAGATGAAGAAGTCAGGAATTCTTCGGTGTAAAGACTAGAGTAGGTGCGAGCTGGTGAACTTACATAAGCACAAAAGATTGGGAGTGGAAGTGCATTGTCTTCAGTTTCATTTTCTACAAGCCATGCCAGAAGTTCTAGAAAGGGAATACCTTGATTCCCATCCATCAGGCAGCTAAGATTCACATAAAGGAGCTGTACATAGGACTTGGAACCTGGTAAAAGTGGTAAAAGGCAGCTTAAAAATATCCACTCCGTGTTGAAACCTTTGTAGCGGTCTTCAGGTGAGCTAATCAGCTAAACCATCTTGAGAAACTGGAAAACTATCTGTCTGAGAGATCTTAGTTTCTTGGAATTTACTGCAGAACTTACATACTTGAATTATAATGTTTTTAAAGCTTTAATATATGACTTCTGTACTAACAGGGGCTTTCAGTGTATGTGTCAAGGTCACAAGGGAAGAATATGTACAGATGCCTATGAAGGATGAAGGCTAAAATGCAGAGGGGATGTGAAGCGCCTAGGACCTAACTTACACACCCTAGCCCAATAGGCTTTTAATTTCGTTTATGCTACAGGAAACCATAAACATAATATGTTTTAATTAGCCAAAATAAGATCCCAGAGGTAAAGGAAATGATTGGCAAAATTACCTAAATAGATAAAAAAGGAAAAGAAGAAGAATATGTTTGGTAATTTAAGGGAGAAAGTATGTTATTTGGAGGGGAAATGTCTTAACTTTTTTCTTTGTTGATAGTCCGCTGCCTTGCCTGATGACTGGTCAGTATCTGAGCTCCCTAAAACCACTTCCCTGCTTCATGCGCTCTTAAAAAGCTCTTATACAAGTGCTGAAAGTTAGTTTTTGGTTGCCAACAATATACCAGAAAAATACTAGCCTTAAGGTTTTTTTTAATTTTAAAAATTAAACATATGAATTAGATCATAAAACATTACAGCTGCGTGAGACCCAGTTGGCACCTTGGCTCATGTACACTATGGTGGAGTGTTCAAAACACCAAGATTTTTCTGGAAATCACCAGTTAGTGGCAGAGTTGGATTGAGAATAGAAGTCCTGATTCTTGGTGAGTGGGGCTCACTGTCCCTGTTCTACTTCCTAAATGACCTCCCAAAATGAGTATTAGCAGGATGGTCATATTGGTTCTCTACAGACCCTAGTATAGAGCGAGCATAAAACACACGAGACCCAACTCTGTCTTATTTATTATAAAGTAAGCCATAGGACGTTTAAAAATATAGTATCGTGGATGTGACTC